CTCTTCCCTGGAAGTTGTTTACAGTTTTGGGTGTTGCAGAATACTTAATACGCAAAACGTATAGTTTGCTTTTCTATCGAAGTTGTTTACAGTCTGGTTTGTTGCAGATTGTTCAGTGCGAAAAAAATATGTTCTTTTTCTTCTTTGGAAACTGCATATATATTTTCGGTTGTTGTAGATAATTTAGCGGGATTTGTATGAAAGCTGCGAAAGATTTATGTCTATTTATAATTATTTTAAACGCTGACTGGAGTTTTAATGCGACCAAAAATTACACACCTGAAGCATATTCTAGAACCAGTAGTTTGAAAAAAATCCATATATCATACGTATCACAGACAGAAATGACTTCTTATTTCAGTGAGTTAGTTAAGTCTGGGATCCTCATTCAGTTTATGAGGAAAATAAAACAGATGAGGGTCTGGAAGCGCAAGGGAGCGCGATGACCTGTGTGAAGCAAAGAAAGGGATTTTTTTATTGTTTTTTTAGATATATAGAAAATACGACGCATAAACTTGTTTTAAAATTGCAATAAGAGTAAGGATAATGTTGCGTATTCAGGAGACCAAGGGCAGTAAAAAATACATTATGATGCATATATATCATTACAGTATAATTTATAACACTGACTAGGAAGGAAAAGACAACAAACCTTATAATGTAATTTCAACATCTGAGCGAAAAATAACATCTCAACGTATACAAGAGCTTTGAGGAAGAGACAAAAGATAATAAACACTAAGGCAAAAGGCAGAGGGAATGTCCTAATGATATGCAAAGCTGGTTATCACGCCCACCCTCCGCCCCCTAACCCAACCTGAAGTACAAAGCAGTATACCTTATTTTATGGCGACTAGGCACTTATTTACCTCTTTTATTTACCCTGTAGCATCATCTTAACCTTGAATTTTTATCCTTATCCCTTTGCTTCGGTCTTTATCATATCCTCTTTGTTTTTAGGTCCGTAGGAAGTCGGGGAAAGGAAGGAGAGAATTGTTGTTTGTTTTATATTTGCTGTTTATTGAAGCCTCCTGCTATGTTTTTCTTCTCTTTTTCTCTTTTATTTTAACCAATGTTTTAACAAGTTTATTATCTCTCCTTCGTTTTCCAATTCTTTCGCCACTCTCTCTTTCTTCTTCTCCCTTTTTTTTTCTTCGCTTTTGAACCTTCACTTGTCCCGCCCATCTTCCTCCCCCCCTTTCCCCACCCCCACCCCCAACTGACTCCCCCCTTTCCCGCCCCCAGTCACGGTTAATGACGTCACGGACATACCTGGAGCGAGTACCTGGTTTTTCTGGGGAAGCTTTTAGGGAAGGGCTCATACCTGGCTGGTATTTAGTATCCTTAGATTAATTATTTGCGTTGATGGTATAGATAATTGATAATCTGTTATTTATGTCTTTTTTTTCGACTTCGTAGATGGTATTTATAAGTTTATCTTTTTATTTTTTATTACTATTGATTTGGCATAAAATGTTGGTAATCTACGATTTATTTTTAATAACGGTTTATTGTTATTATTTCGTTGCACATTTCATGCTAACATATATCTATTTCTATATTTTAAGAGTATTTTATATTCTTCACCTTGTTATTATCAATCATAATTATTATTTTGCAATCTCCCTTTTTATCTCTTCGATGATTATATTCATACCATTTATGTATTTGGTTTTACATTTTTAAGCTCGTATCCACTTATGGCGCCTTAATTTTCGCGCCAAAACTACGACCCGCGAGAAACAAAAGAGGTTACAAAAGCGTCTTTTCTATGCAGGAAAGATTTTTTTTTGGGGGGGAGGAGGGGGCGAAGGAGCGTAGGATACAAAGGTCAACAGGATACTAAAGAGCAAAAAAAGAAAAAAAGAAAAGGATTTTGGGATCCTTCGAATTGATTCTCCTTAGGTGGGGATAACCTGTGATTTCTTGGCGGTTTCACAATCATCCGAGTCAAAAGACAGACATTCGGACGAAAATTACGTTGCTGTTTTTCCGAATGCTTGTATTGTTGTTACTGTAATCTCGCCAATTAACGGAATAGCTTTTTTTTATCTGCTTGCTTATCTCTCTGTCTTAGTCTCTCTCTCTCTCTCTCTCTCTCTCTCTCTCTCTCTCTCTCTCTCTCTCTCTCTCTCTCTCTCTCTCTCTCTCTCTCTCTATCTGTCTATCTATATCTATCCAACTATCTGTTTGTCTATCTCTATCTATCACCTTACCTGTTTTACCTTTCAATCAAGCAATTAACAATCTGTCTATTTATTAAGTCATCAATCCTTGTCTCTATCCATTTATCTCTCTACCTTTCCCACTCTCTCTAAATGTATTATTTCTCTCTTTCTTTCTCTCTCTCTCTCTCTATCTATCTATCTATCTATCTAGCTATCTATCTCTCCCCCCCCCCCCTCTCTCTCTCTCTCTCTCTTTCTCTCTCTCTCTCTCTCTCTCTCTCTCTCTCTCTCTCTCTCTCCCTCTCTCCCTCCCTCCCTCCCTCCCTCCCTCCCTCCCTCCCTCCCTCCCTCTCTCCCTCCCTCCCTCTCTCCCTCCCTCCCTCTTTCCCTCCCTCTCTCCCTCCCTCCCTTCCCCCCCCCCCTCTCTCTCTCTCTCTCTCTCTCTCTCTCTCTCTCTCTCTCTCTCTCTCTCTCTCTCTCTCTCTCTCTCTCTCTCTCCCTCCCTCTCTCTCTCTCCCTCTCTCTCTCTCTCTCTCTCTCTCTCTCTCTCTCTCTCTCTCTCTCTCTCTCTCTCTCTCTCTCTCTCTCTCTCCCTCTTTCTCCCTCTCTCTCTCTCTCCCTCCCTCCCTCTTCCTCTCTCTCTCCATCATTAGCGAGGGTGACTGTCCTGTCCTGACCTCCAGTTCGCCTTCCTCTTGGCGTTGAACCAAACGGCTTCGCGGGGAAAAGAATATATGATTTTTTATGTGATTTATTCTGTGCATTTTCGTGGTTTGAGCAGAGCGGGAGGTTATTGACTATTTCCTTTTTGTACGCGATTCATTTGTGTTTGTGTGACTGTGCTAATGGCTGGTTGTCGCTGAGTGAGAATGGAGAATGTGCTTACGTATTTTTTGTTGTTGGTTGTGTGAGTGGATTTTTTGTTTAAAGGGAAAATGATTTTATTGCAATAGATTATGGTTAGGATTTGTTATGTTTTACTTTTGTTGATAAATGGGATTGATTTGGAATAGATTTGTTTTATTTTGGTTTATTCGTATTCGAGATATTTCGTAAAGATAAAGAGTACATATTTTTTCCTAAAACTAAACCATCTTAAAATACATCGTTGTCTTCTATCTATTTATCTCTCTATTTATTCTATTCATGCATTTATCCATTGTGCATTCATTTATTCAACATTTTTAAAACTCAGTTCATTTTCAACTTCCTCTTTACCTTCTTCATTTCCGCCTTTTTTTCCACCTCATTGCATATTCATTTCTGCATCATTTAAGAAGTACGTGCGTTGAAGATTCATTTTGAGAATAACCTTAGTTGAGAATGCTCGAAGGACAATTAGCTTGTAAGTTACATGGAGTGTTAATAATATTGTGATATATATTGCTGACATGTGCTACGATTATGAGACTGGATCTGTTGGCTCACACACACGTTCGCGTTCGTATGCATGCACGTTTATGTAGATTGTTATATTACGGATGGAATATAAATGGAGAGTTGTGGATAAACACACACACACACACACACACATGTATATATATATGTATATATATGTGTGTGTGTGTATGTATATATATGTATATATATACGTATATGTATGTATATACGTATGTATGTGTATATACATATAAATGTGTGTGTGTGTGTGTTTTGATCAACGAAATAATTATTTTTTCTGACTTTTATCAATTCAATCTTAACTGGTTTATCCATCACAGCCAACACATGATCCTCTTGGTTCCTCTCGTGCTCGCAGGTCAATCTTTTACCGATTTACTTCAGCTGACATTTTTTAACAGTCACTCAACGCTGTGTTTTATTCCTTGGCAACTACACTTGGTTGAGTGACTTTAACCAATCAACCAATAGACTTTTTAATAGCTTGTTTACATTCCTTCACTTGGTCGAGTGACTTTAACCAATCAGCCAATAGAATTCTTAATAGCTTGCTTAATTCCTCTGCAACGTTGCATTCGCCTATTCCCCTTCCTTCCAAATATAAACCAGTATTAATTTCAACCATTCCGGTCTTACAAGGATAATTCTTGGATATTATACATCATTCAAGATTGGTATTTATGTTTATGGTTACGTGCATTCTTTAATTTGATCACGCAGTCAGCTAATCTCTCATTCTGCCAATCACGTAAACAACCGAATTTCTCAGTCATCCAGTCAACTGATCAGCTAGTCATCCAGTCAACCAATTAGCTAGTCATCCAGTCAACTGATCACTTAACCAATCAGCTAATCAGCACAGTCACCCAACCGCCTAATCAGCTAACCACTCAACCACCGAATCACTCAACCACCCATCCACTTAATCACCCAACCACCCAATCACTCAACCACCCAATCACTCAACCACCCAATCACTTAACCACCCATCCACTTAATCACCCATCCACCCAATCACTCAACCACCCAACCACTTAATCACCCAATCACTCAACCACCCAATCACTCAACCACCCAATCACTTAACCACCCATCCACTCAAGCACTCAACCTCCCAACCACCGAATCACCCAATCACTCAACTCACCCATCGCTTAGCCACCCATCCACTCAACCACCGAATCACCCAATCACTCAACTAACCCATCGCTTAAACACTCAACCGCCCAACCACCGAATCACCCAATCACTCAACCACCCAATCACCCCTTCGCTTAACTACCCATCCACTCAACCACCGAATCACCCAATCACTCAACTACCCAATCACCCCATCGCTTAACCACTCAACCACCCAACCACCGAATCACCCAATCACCCAATTACCACCAACCCTAACGACCCCTCTCCCCTTCTCTCTCCCCCCCCCAGGTGTGCGTTCGGGTGCCCCAGATTCGGGCCAGAAGCTCCGGCTGGGCAACGGGCGCGGACCCTGGACTGGGCAGCTGCAGGTCAAATACGCCAATTCGTGGGCCTTCGTCGATGCCCGCGGATGGTCGCATACCCTCGGGCAGCTGGTGTGTCGCCAGCTGGGATTCATCGGGTGAGTTGGGGGGAGAGAGATACGTTTGTGTGTGTGTATAAATATGTATACAGTATATATTTATTTATATTGTTTTATGTATGTGTGTGTGCTGTATATATGTATGTATATATATTACATACATGTGTCATGCATATATGTATATATGTAAATATATGTGTGTATATATATATGTGTGTATATATATATATATGTATATATATATATATATATATATATATATATATATATATGTAAATATATGTGAATGTCATATATATATGTATATATAAATGACATATGTTATGTATATATATATGTATATATGTACATATGTATATGTCATATATGTGCTGTGGCACAAGTGTTACCGCGAGCAGCGGTTAATTAGGAAGGGCATCCAATCAAGCAAAGGTGAAACTGCCAAATAACCTCTCAAATAATGAATTGAGAGATTTCCTGCTGTGGAAATAAAAGGCTGTTAAAAATATTATGTATATATATGTGTGTGTGTGTGTGTGTGTGTGTGTGTGTGTGTGTGTGTGTGTGTGTGTGTGTGTGTTTATATGCGTACACACATATATATGTATGTATGTATATACATATATATATATATATATGTATATATATAAAGTGTTGGCCCTTTACCCTACGAAATTTGTAAAATATTTTTCATAAGATTATTCCTTATCATATGTTGTTCCAGACAAATTACCTTCTTGAAGCAAGAAGTATTTGTCGTTTCCTCTCATCTCTTCTGTTAAGCAAACAGATCCATTGTCTTGAGTTCGAGAGAGAAGACATTACACGGCCTTTCATGGACATTAATTTTAGGCTCGTGGGAGTCCGCGATTCAAAACCCTTGGAAAATTTATGACTTCGTGAAAAAAAGAAGAAAAAAAGATCCACTGGTTGGGTTTTTTCTTATCAGTTTCTTGTTGCATTTTTGAGATAGAAAAAAAAACAGTGAAAGAAATGCATGGGTTTTTTATGGGTATTAATTTTAGGCTTGTAGGAATCCGCGAATCAAAGAAATGCCATTTTTTAAATCTAGTCATCGTAATTTTAAAACAAGTTAATCTCGTTATCTTTTTCTCATTTTTTTTCTGTCTCCTTTTTTTGCGTAACTCTTTCCTCAAAAAAAAATCAGATTTTTGACAAATGACACCCCGAGATTTATACGTATTTTTGTTGATATTTTTCTCTTTTTTTTGAAGGAAGGTCAACAGGTTTCGCTTGAAGGTAATTATGCTTATCGTGGAGGTCTTAAATAACTCGTCTGTCAAAACTGAAAGGCAACGGACGATGGGCAGGCATGTGGGGAGGTAGGGGGGGGGGGGGGGTCGGACAAAGAGTTTAGGCTCGTGCGCGAAATTTTTTGGAATGCGATGCTTTTCGTTTTTTTTTTTTTCTCTCTTTTTCTTCTTTTTTGTTTTTGTTGATCTTTCGGTAGGTATTTTTTCTCATAATTACGTAAGATTTGTAAAAAATAAGGATTCGTGTGTGTGTCTGTGTATGTGTGTGTGTGCATGCACGCTTTTATGCGTGTGCGCGCGTGTGTTTGGGTGTGTCTGCATGTGTGTGTGTGTGTGTGTGTGTAGGTGTGCATAAACGTTTTTATGCGTGTGCGGGCGTGTGTTTGGGTGTATAGGTATTATATCAATGCGAGGGAGTGTGTAATTTTAACATATACTGATGCTCTACCGTCTATTATTTGCACATGAACGCCCCAAATCTGCAAATGAAAAATATAATAATTCACTTCACATTAAAAACCCGACCACTTAACTTTCTCACAAAACCTCCCTTTCAATTGTACTTTACGTCTTTCATCCGTGACTCAAAGACGTCCCACGCAGAAGGAGAAGATTGATTATGCAAATGAGGTCATTAAATCGGCGAGTCGAACCGTAATTAGGATGTCTTGCGTATAAATTCCCCATCAATATATTCGGGGTTCGGAGGAGCTTGCCAGGGCGGGAGGAAGCCGCGCGAACTGGGAGGAGGGGAAGGCTTGCTGACAGGAACAGCGAGAGGGAGAGAGAGAGAGGGAGAGACAAACAGACAGACAGATAGACTTTGGCAAGTTTAGTGAGACAAAAGCTTACTGAGAGAGAGACAGACAGAGGCAGAAACAGACAGACAGACAGACAGACTTTGGCAAGTTTATTGAGACAAAAGCTTACTGAGAGAGATAGAGAGAGAGAGAGAGAAAGAGAAAGAGAGAGAGAGAGACTTTGACAAGTTTATTGAGACAAAAGCTTACTGAGAAAGAGAGAAAGAGAAAGAGAGAGAGAGAGAGAAAGAGTAAGAGAGACTTTGGTAAGTTTATTGAGACAAAAGCTTACTGAGAGAGAGAGAGAGAGAGAGAGAGAGAGAGAGAGAGAGAGAGAGAGATAGAGAAGGGAGAAGTAAGAAAATTATATGAAAAAAAAAACATTATCAAACCAATGAAAAAAAACAAAATTAATAATACATTAGTGTCGCATAACAAACACATTATAATAACAGATAAGATAATAAACAATAATGAGATTTTTTTTTATCTGATTAATGATAGCCGTATCGTATGAATAACATTAATAAAACCGAACAGACCAATGCCACAAAGTAAACAATGACAAAACCAACCGAATAATAACAAAAAAGCAGAGAATATAAATAAGAAGAAGAGGAAGAAGACGATGAGTGACAGAAAAGAAAAGAAAAATAAGAAGAAGAGGAAGAAGACGATGAGTGACAGAAAAGAAAAGAAAAATAAGAAGAAGAAAAGAAAAGAGAAAAAATAGAAGAAAAAAGGAGAAAAAATAGAAAAAAAAGAAGAAAAAAGGAGAAAAAAGAGAATATAAAAAGAGAAAAAATAAATAAAAAAAAGCCGGATCTTGAGTGACATCGAAGGTCACGTCAAAATACGACTTCACGTTCAAGGTCAGGCCGGCGACGCAGAGGGAGGCCGGGCGGTCGGGCGAACGGCGCGGGGTGGCTTACCCCTCGCCCGCCGTTCCTTCCAGGCTCTCACCCCCCTACTCCTCCCCTTTTTTATGCCGCTGTTGCTGTGTGTATCTTTATTTCTCTTTTATTCTATTGTTCTTTCTCACTCATTCTTTCCCTCTCTCTTCTTTATCCTTCTCTCTCTCACTCTCTCTCTCTCTCTCTCTCTTTGTCCTCCTTTCCCCTCTCTGCATATTTTCTCTCCTTCCCCTTCCCTTCTTTCCTCCCCTCTCCTTTCCCCCCGTCTCCCCTCTCTCCCTGTCCTCCCTCTTTCCTCTCTCCTCTCTTTTCCCCTTCCCCTCTCATCTCCCCTTCCCCTCTCATCTCCTCCTCTTCCCTTCTCTCCCCTTTCATTCTCTTCTCCCCTTCCTCCTCTCCCTTCCCCTTCACTTCTCTCCCCTTTCATTCTTTTCTCCCCTTTCTCCTGTCTCCTCCCCTTCCCTTTTCTCTCCTCCTCCCCTTCCTCTCTCTCCTCCTCTCCTCCCCTTCCCCTCCCTTCCCCCCCTCCTTCTCCTTTTGCGTCACAGCCTTGAACTTGGGTCCTGAGTTTGACCTGAGTTCGAGGGTGAAGGAGGAGTGTTGAGGAGGGAACGGCGGAGGGAAAATAAAACAATGATAATGGTGATAATAATAGAAATGTTAAGAATAAGAATAAGAAAGATAATAATGGTATTAATAACAATAATGATATTGATAACAACCAAACAAATTAAAAGGAGAAAAAAAACACAAAATACAATAAAAAACAAACAAAACAAACAAAAATCACAAGAGAAAACAAACAAAAAATACAAAGGGAAAAATATATATATAAAGCAACCAAAAAAAGAAAAAAAAGAAAAAAAACAACAACAGCGACAAACACATCGGGCACTCGAGCAAGTAAAAACCAATAGAGATTCAGCTTCTTAAAATCATTCAGGTGGAACGTCACATGCAAGAACACGTGACTAAGGCAAAATATAGATAGATAAATAGATAAAAAAGGTAAGAGAGAAAGAAAGAAAAAAAGAGAGGGGAATGGGCGGGAGAGGGAAGGAGAAATGGAGAAAGAAAATGTAAGAGAGAGACAAACAGGCACAGACATAAATAGACTAATAAAACACTAAAACAAGAAAGAACAAGAAATAAACAGAAAACGAAAACTCCATCCAACGACAAGCGAATCTAATTTGCATGCAGCTCCTTTAATGATTTCGTCCCCGCCAAATAACTTCGCGTAATGTTCCGGTCGTCTGCTGTTAGGGGAAAAGCCCGCGGAAATTGTTCGAGCGCGCGTTCGGTGTTCTTGCGGTAGAAGGATCACTTTCTGTCGTTAGCTGAAGGTGTTAATGAGGCCATTTGTGTCTAAGAAAGGTGTTTTCTTATGGTTGTCTTTGTTGTATTTATGATTTTCATTTTTTTTTTTACTTGATTAATGAGTTTGTATGTATGTATGTTTGTAAGCGTGTATGTATTGCATCGGTAAATGGTGCTTCCTGTTCTAATATATATCTTAATTTGCTGAATGAACCTCCAACTTACAAATAGATATACACTGCCCATCCCCAATCCTCCATCTCCCTATCATCTCCCTTTTATCTCCCTTCATCTTATCTCTCTCTCCCCCCCGCCCGCGTTCGATTCCGTGCACGCCTGACCCTGAGAGTGACGTGAGGCGGCCATTCAGCGTGACGGGCGTGAGGCGTGCTGGACCGATGGGCGTGCATCCCCCCCTTCCTTCCTCTCTCTCCCCCTCTTCCCTTCCTCTCCTCCCCCCTCCCTCTTCCCCTTACGCTTCTTACGTGCATGTCTCAGTTTAAGGTTTTGTTGTCGTTGATTACGTGCATTCCTCCTCGTGTTTTATCGTCGTTTTTTTTTGTTTTATTCCTTTTTTTTCTTTGGGGGGTGGGTTGCTGTGGTTTATTATATGTATCTCTTCTTCTGTATGTTTATCTGTTGTTTACGTGTGTTTCTCCCCTTTTGTTTTCTGTTGTTTCTTACGTGCATTTCTCCTTTAATACGGATTTCCGTCGCGTCTTCCGTGCATC